CACGTTCACTTGGATAACACTTACGTCTACATCGGCCCGGAAGTTAATACACGGTTCAATTTGCCACCCAAATATTTTGAGCAGAATTAACACTGGTTGAAGAAGATTTCAAAACGTCAATATCGAACCTTGCTCAACTCGTTATTACCATTGTGATAAAGACAAAAATTTCAGAAGGAGATATGTGGTCACTGAGGAACAGCAAGTACTGGTTGTGGTGATCGGAAGCGGAACTCAGCGCGTACGCAAGCAGACAGACTAGATAAATGGTGTTTGCTCGGTGTTATCGGTAAAAAAAAGTCTGATGAATATGATGAGTTACTTATTTTGCTAATAATGAATGAGTGTGACGTACCAGCGCGAATACCGGTCAAGAACGCTAATGATTTAAATTTTATTTGAAGTATGGTGATGCTTGAGGCACAGGGACAACCAGTCGGTCGAGGAACAACCCAGTAGCGCCATTAATCAAATTACACATTTCACCAATTTCTCGTTTCGAGTGACAGCTAGATATGTTTTTTTTTAAGTAGATATTTTTTCCTTGAAATTACAGCTTTCCAACTTTTGTGGTCCCCGAGTTGGTAAAAAAAAAGGCTTTCACACCCCAGTAAGCAGGACTTGACGTGGGTGAAGGTTGGTATCGTATTTCTAAGGCACGGCTTGGCCAGCGGACCTACGGCAAAATTTCAGCGGCGAAGCCTGTTTGACTGTTGGATTGAAATACCCAGCCCAGACAGGCCGACACACACGCACACATATAAACATATATAGACACACACACACAAGTTGCTACAATATGCGTTTTTGCATTTCCATACATGCAAAAACGCATAGCTGTGCCATATGTTCAAAATCTCCTAAAAATCCAGTCTCCTGCAATGATCTGAGCTTCTGTACAGGTGTAGAATAACCATGATATGAATGTCAAAAGTTAAAGTCTTTTTTTCCCTTGCTGTCCTTGTAAAACTCTCTATGAAAGGCAGAAGGACCTGAAAACCGCATGTTATCTGCTAAGAACATATGTTTATTGACGAGGCTTTTTAGAGGGCGCTGATGCTGGATTCTGTGTTGAATTCAAAAAAGAAGTCTGCGTTAATTCTAATGATATCTGGACTAGCGGCAGCATACTCAAAAATTTTAGAGTACAACACTTTTTAGCTTCCACAGATTGCTATTGGTAAGATCAAATGCATTTTGTGTAACGGCTTTTCTCTCGCATGCTGATGAGCCTGGCGCACTGGAGAGTAGCACAGTGAAGGTGCAGCAATATCGTGGGTTCCACTTCACTGATTAGGACAACCAACATCTCTGTATTTCAGAAAGAGTGAAACCCAATTTGCCTGTCTGTAACTTCCCAAACAGAGAACTCTGCCAACGGGTAGTAGCAGTTTGAATTTATTAAGCTACTTTCCAAGTGTTTTGGCCTACCACGGGTCGTTTATGCGGACTGAGTTCCGACATAAAAGGTGTAAGCCCAGAAATATGATACAAGGAAAATTTCCACCGCAGGACTTTTGAATTTTTACGAGTATGCCATGAATATGAATCAAAAGCTACGTAAATTGTGCAGCATTGTCTTCCGAAAGACAAGATTGTATGACTTCTGAAAAGCTAACATAAGACGTAACCTGCTGAATGTCTTGTGCAGCTGATTCTCTGCTTTTCTTGAGCGCAACCCAGTACATTGATTGACGCTCCTTCTCCATTTGGTCAAGCTTCCTCACGAACATTTCATTCTCGCGAGCGAGCATCGAAATTCGCGCTTCGTAAGTTGACTGAAAATACAACTGATACAACCGTAATATGATCGTTTGTGAACGCACTTGTCTCAATAAATGTTTGTTTGTGTTAATCTTTCCCTCATGTCAAATTCATGGAAACTGATTTCTCACGTACAAAAGGATGGCAGCATAAAATGAGCTCTCAGTTCCTCTCGTTCCAGCACGAAAAACTATTCTGGTGCAAACTAACATCAATTTCGCTGCAGCGAAAGTGAGTTAATTTAAGAGTGTTTAAGTTCAAGCATAGAAAATTTTTCCGCACCATAAAGCCGTGAAGCTGATGATTCCAGTCATTGATTTCTGAATACACATTGCTCCATCGTGCGCTTAATGCTTTCGTACTTTTCTAATGAGGTGCAAATAATCAAAAGTTGCGGATCTTTAAACTGCA